GAGAAGAGTTGTGCAACACTGAGCGAACGTGTAGTCATCTTTGTTAGAAAATTAACACAAGACTTAACCAGCGAGTAGTGGGACTGGGTTTGGACTGGGTTTTCAATAAACGTAGCTAAATGGGCGTTGTCCTTGCCAGTGTAATGAGAAGTCACCTTGGCAGGCGCGACACTTATTTAAATTCTGCTTCCTATCATTCAAGAGAATTTTTGGTCACTCCTCCTTTGGGGTTGCTCCTGGAGCCTCTGGCACATTCTTCTGTGTATGTCTGAGGGTGACAAATTTTTGTCCTTTGTGGAGAGCAGTGATTTTTTGGTAAACCATCCAATGTTACTTGGTGAATGAGCTAAGTAATATGACTTTTTAAATAGAAAGAAAGAAAAAAAAAAAGCTGTGGCTCCAAGAGAGGGAACGGTCGTTCTTTCATTTCCAAGAGGAGAATTACCTACCGTCAACTTCAAGAATTGGCAGTATTGCTGGAAATGACCTGCTGCTTCCTAAGGTGACCACATCCATTTTGAAGTCTATTTTTACAGTTTCAGTGACCCCATTCTCTGTCTTATAAGATTGCCACACTTGGAGTTTCCAGAAAGAAAAGAGCTCTGCAGCTGATTACCTGTTCATTTTCTCAGAGCTCCTTGAGGCATCTGAATCCCTCCTGTGCCTGTGGATTAACGAACTGACCAGCAACTCTACAGATGTTTCTGATGAGTTAACATCTGGGTATACTGGAAGTACTGTGCCCTGCAGATTCAGTTCTAACCATTCTAATACTCCTCTAAAAAGTGTGGATTTTCTTTTCTCAGTTATGAAACAATCTACCTGGAAATTAAAGTATGAATGACATCCTCCTATGGAAACTGTAGCATATTATTTGCTTCTGGTGCAAATAACTCACCTTGCTAGGGTTACTTTAAAATAAATACCGCTGCACTATGAATATGACACGATGGTTTCTTCCAGGATGCCAGACATTTCTGAAAAATGTAATTTCCCCCATCTCATTTCTTTATTGTGGTAATATTTCCATCCCATCACCTTTACCACGGACCATTTTAAAGTGTACAAGTCCCAGGGCACTGCAGCCATCACCCCACCCTCTGGTTCCTAAACACAGACATCTTTTCTCCATTAACTGGTCACTCCCCATTTTCCCCTCCCCCTGAATCCTGGCATCTAACTATTCTGCTTTCTGTTTCTGTGTATTTGTCTGCTCTGGGTAGTTCACATAAGTTGAATCTTGTAACATACAGTTTCTTTCCCTTAGTATGATGTTTTTAGGGTGCACCCATGTTGTAGTCTGTGTCTGTACTTATTATCTTTTCATGGCTGAATGCTTTCTTTGGATGGATGGACACTGCTTATTCATTCACCCACAGACAGGCACATGGCTTATTCTCCCCATTGGGCTATCCTGAATGGTGCTGTCAAGAACTTAAAGTGCACAATATTTTCTCTGAGAGCCTGTTTTCAATTCTTTTTGAGTATATACCTAGGATTGGAATTGCAGGGTTTAACTTTCTGAGAAACGATGATCAACTTGCTAACTTTTATACTAACACTTTCAAGGGGTCTTGATCAGCAGGTAGGCACAGCTGGATTGCTGCACTCAAACCCCAGGACGGGTCTCAAGGGGACTCTTTTTCAGAAACATGGATGAGAGCAGTGTGGCTCCGCCTGAGCAGAGCTTGTTCCAAGGTGAGGCTACCGGCAGGACTCTGAACAGCATTATCTGCAGCTCTGCGTGCCCTAACATGAACTGGCTGGGCAAGAATACCTTCCTGCCTCCTCAAATCACAGCTGCCCACTAGGTTGTACATGCTTTTGGAAAAAGAAAAAAGATGTTAACCACACAATGTCTGGACTTCCCTCCTCTTGTCTTTGCAGCAGAGTTCAGATTAGCAACTGGAGTCCAGAGAGAAATGGCACAAGCAAACCAAAGCCACCCCATCCTTTCACAGGTCAAGAACAGGGCCTCCCTGGCACTCCTTGGAGACATCTTACTTCCAGGGTCTCCATCTGCCTTCAGCCCACCCAGAGATTCTGACCCTATCAACCCACAGATGCCGCAGTTGAAACTACCCTGCTTTGTGTATTAGATTGTCCCGTGTGGGCTTGGCCAGGACACAAAGATTAAATCTTACTACAGCCACTGTTTACTGGGGCCCGTGAGTCATGGGGCTCTTGGCGATGAACCCAACTGGACAGTAAACGGATTAAGGCTGATTTTTAAATTTAAACTCATCCCTTGTCTTCGGGGCAGTATTTCCAGGTGCTCTGGCCTGAATCTGCTGTTAAGACAAAAAGAAAGTCCCGCGGCTGGTCATATCCTCTGTTCTCTGGCAGGAAACTTAAAATCTGCCTGGTCTGGTCCTCGGGTCTGTTTGCTTATCTGCTTCCTTGTAGGGAAGAGTCTGCATCACAGTGTCCGGCTGAGGGGGATTTTCACCATGACCTCACCCTCTGCAGCTACCTCTCTCTGGCTCCAGAGCCCCACGGAGCTCTGGCCGCTCGCCTGCCCGGGAGTCTGCACTGAGACCCCCCCCAATCCCTCTGGGCTCGTCTCAGATTTACATCAACTTCCATTCTTTGTCCTCAAAAGAGTGTCTGAGAGTGTCAAGACGAGCTGGGGTGAGGAGCCGGATGGATGACGTCTGGTTATGATTCTGGGCTTCGCTGTGCAGGTCAGTGAAACCACCTTAATAAAACGCACCCAGAGTCCTCCAGGCGCGCGCCCGCCGTTTAAACACCATTCGCGCCAATGGCCTCGAAATTAGGCGCGCGACGGTGACCGCAGGCGGCGGCAGCGCTTAGATAGCTGGAGTGAGCGCCGCAGGGCGGTTGTGGCTTCCAGGCCTAAGGGCAAGGGCTCGCCCGCCCCTCAGCCCGCGCGGCTAATTTAAAGGAAACAGAGAGTCCGGCTCGGGCCTGGGGAGCAGCGCGGGACCCCCGCCGAGGCCACGTGACGCCCCAGGCTCCGCCCCGCCC